ATATATATATATATATATATATATATATATATATATATATATATATATATACTTATTTTATCATATTTCAAGTATGACAAAAAAAATCTAAATTATTCTAATAATATATTGCAATTAATGGGATTTATGGCACGTCTCGTATTATTTTTTAGAGACATTGATATAAAAGATTAAAGATCGATAAGTAAATATTCATAAATTTTATTTAAAATAGTACAAGTTTTAACCATTTTATTTTATATTTTTATATTAAATATAATATATATCTATAATTTATATAAAATTGTGGAGAATAAACAAAAAAAATTAAGGGTTAAGATACATATTTACAAAACTTTTGGGGGGGCCAAAAGTAATATTGAAAAATTATTATGCCAAAACAGCAAAAAAAAATTTTTTTTTTTTCTTGGGGGGTCAACTGCCCCCCCTGCCCCTATGAAGTACCGCCCCTGCTACCTATGGATGAGAGCATGTCTTATGCATTTAAAAAGGTTTGCTACTCATACACCACAATGCGCATTGGAGTACTATTGCATTGTGGAATTCATCAACTCGAGAAGAGAAAAGAATTTCACTCCCCACTTAGTTTTATGGGTCGTATTATGGGCTTTGTCAGTATTTTAAAGTTGTTATTTTGGATTGGGACTACTAGTAACAAATTATGTCAATCCAAGAGGTGACGAGTTGAAGATATGATAGAAGCGGAAAAATAGTGTGGATGACTTCGAATCGGTTCACTTGGTTGATTTGAGAGGTTGTTTGTGTCTTTATTGCAAAGCCAGAGATAAGAAGTCAGTTCGGATTTGAAAAAAGAAGGAAAAGGGTATTGACAGTACCTTTGGGAAGACAGTTAACGAATGTTGAGAATGTCAGAACGCCAATTTGGTTGTTTGAACTAGGGGTGAGAAAAAGACCGGTAAACCAAATAACCGAACCGAAAACCGAAAAAACCGAGGCCATATGTACCGTCCCGATTTAAAACCGCATATACGGTAATTTGTTTTTTGAAAAACCGAAAATAGCGATTTGTGTATGGAGAATAAAAAAATTATCGAACCGATTTCCCGAACCGAACCGATTTATACAAAATGATGTCTTTTTGATATATAGTATAAATACTTACCCTACATGTATCTTTCGAGCGCCTCCATGTAACATAATTTTCTATTAATTAATTTTGGTTGTGACGTGGTTTTTATTAGTTAATTTTCAGTTGTTATTTGTTAATTTTCTCAAATAAATATAATGAAAGTCCAAATATATCGGTTTTATACCAAATCGATTCGAACAAA